CTCACCCACTTGCAGGGCCTGGGTTCTGCGAGTTCCTCTATCGGAATGGGATCAGATAATGATTTTCTATCTTAAATATCCTGAGCATCAGACTAGGGGAAAGACTTATGCAATGGCAGCTCTCCAGTGACCCTGCTACAGTATTTGTAATGCAAATTTTTCCCAAGAGGGCTAAGAGCAGAATGTCTAACTCTGTAGCCAGCCTGGGGATATCAATGTTTTGGTGAGACTGTGCTGTCTAGGCAGTGCTCCCAGGAATGCTTGTATATTTTTATATGAGTTGTCATTATAAAGTTAAGGAGACTACCATTATTTTGTATATTATTACTACTTTGTGAGCAAAATACATCCCAGTGTTAACTGGGAACTGGTATGGTTATATGTAAATAGAGGCAAATGGGGGAAAATGCATGATTATTATCTCTTGTTTGGCAGGAATGACTTCCATTATCTCAGCAAAATACTTTGTTTTCCCCCTCAGTCTTCCAAAATAATGCACCTCCCAACAATGAGATTAAATAACATCACTGTTTTATCTCTGAGTGTCCTAGTTTATCGCTTTCAGATATTATTAGGTTGTGCATTACTTAGATATAGAAGGAATGATGCACTTCCTCTATTGAGAGAAATTTGGGGTGATTTCAGTGGCATGTTGGAACTCTGTGATGCAGAATTGGAAACTCTGTAATGTTATCTGCTACACAAATTGATAGCACTTAATGGTAGACTGTATAATACTTTTTCTTGCAGTACTGATCAGTACTGACCTGGTTGGGCAGATGGTTAGTTCTGTTGATTATGTATCCATCACAAATTATGTTAGTTATCTGTTGATTTTTAACTCTTTCTCAGTTTTTGCATGGTGTTTTGTGGAGAGAAGTTCATATGTCAGAGAGCTTAAATCTGCCGTGCTGGCCTACAGGAATGTATTTGGCATGTTAACTTTCTTTTAATATATGCAGAGAGCATCTAGCTCTGAGAGGCCATCTAAACGTCTTCAAAGAGTTATTGAATTGTTTATTGATCTACTTCATTACTGCTGTTCCTCTGGTTCCTTTTGATGTCTTGTCACTTTGTTCAAAATATAATGCCAGGGTTTTAGATTAATAGTTGTGCAGGAGGCCCTACATTTGTAAATATTAGGGTATGTTTCTCCTTTCAGTAAGAATGTGCTATTGTCCAGTAAATATTGCTGCCATCAGAGTTTTGTCCTTTTTCATGCCCCTCCCTTTGTACAAAGACTCCCTCCTCTCTTCCTCTTAAGAAAACTGAAGTGTCTGAGGTTTTATCTTCTAGGTTTTATAACAGTCTAATCTCTTATTCTGCCATTGAACGCTTATGGACGAGTTCCCAGCTTAGGAAAAGAAATTTGATTAATTTTTCCTCCTTCCCTTTAATCTTTTCCATGTGTGTCTCTTACATTTGTTAAATTCACACATTAAAAGTGCCTGCTGATTTTTTCTTTCATTAATTTATTTAATCACTTTTTGAAGTTTTTTAAACTTCTGGAATAGCAACATCCCATGACATGGGGTTCTAGAGTTAGTATATTAATTACTTGGAAAAGTGCTTTGGTTTTAATCCTGTCATCTGAATATTCATTTGTAGAATTTTTTTTAATACTAGGTAATAATTCTTCATTTACTTTCTAAGTCATGCAGAATTTAAAATATATTTGTCAAGTCCTGCACTTGTTGCTTCTTTTTCCAAGATTAAGATTATAGCCTGTTTGCTTATTCCTTTTACAGAAGTTGTTCTGTACCTTTGGCCATCTTGGTCACCTCTTGGTATCTCTTCTATTTCTAGATTTTGCATTTGACTTAACCCTTTTAGTCTGTCGTCTGGTCTTCTATCCTTAGTGTGCATCCACAGCAACACCAGGAAGTTGCCTGATATCAGACTCATTTTTGTGATAAGTTAACGCAGAAGTGTGTTAAGTGGCAGAGTGAGAAATAAGACTTTCTGCTGGTGATGAGGCAGGTTCAGAACTGCTTCATTTAGATGTACAGCTTCTCCAGACAAATGTCTTGTGACTGCCTGCAAGGCAACCCTGCCTGTTTGCACTCTTGCAGCTTCTAGCCCACCTCCCCTTCTCAGCAACAAAACCTGGCCACTCTTCCCTGTGCGCTCTGCACGCAGCTCTGAGTTACTGGCCAAGTGTGTGTCCTGGGTGTGCTGAGTAGCCAAATCACGTGAATTGGCCTGTTCAAGTTATCGGTTGCTTCTGGCTGAAAAGGCAAAGGTTTGTGCCATGAAACTGTCAGGTTCATGTATTACTGGTGTTCATTGTGTGTTATACAGTATAATTTTTTAAAAAAAGAAACTCCCCAGCCACTCCTTCCTCTTTCTCCCCCACCCAAAATGGTGGGAATGAGATGCAATATTGCAGAGATATGGGGGGGAAAAAAAAAAAAAAAAAAGCTTTTAATATTTAAGGTTGCAGAAAGTAAGCTGTTACATTAAAAATGGTCAAAGTCGAGGTTACATGTGCAGTGTTAGATCTTCCTCTTTTTTGTTCATGCAGCATCATCAGTGTTTAAGCACTTGCATACTGTTTTATTTTCTGCAAAACTGCAGATATTTCAACAATACCAGCAATATTGTGAAATCATAGGGTAGAGTTAGATGTGTTTATTGATGAGAATTTTTTTTTTTTTTCCTGCTGGCCCTACCCTTTCGTTGTTACATTTCAGTGTGTAGCTTGACTACAGTGCTTCTGTTTCCCATCTCATTGTAAACTGTGTCTCCTTACCTTTTGAAAACCTACTTCAAATGAAACTGAATAAAAGCATCAGAGAAAACCCAGTTAGGAGGGGAAAAGGAAAGCAAATCCTTAGCTGTGTGGAGCTACCATTAATGTTCAGAAGCTGACAAAGATGAACTGCTCATCTAAGCATAAATAGTCTTCAGAGCCTCTGTGTTTCTTGCCTCGTATAACGGGGTGCTGTGTACTCATTAGTTTTGTTCCTTTTAAAATATTTGGTGATCACATTGTTTACTTTGAGTAGTGTAAGGCTCTGTTGCAGTCACTTTTCACTTTGCAGTATGTGAAGACCGGGAGTCTACATAGCGTCCAGTTTAGAGTGAAATCAGCAGTTAACTGCAGCCCAGCCTAGTGTGTTGTGATCTGCCATGTATTTTACAGTGAAAATATCCAGGATAAAATGCCACAAAATTGACGGGTTTCCATCGAGAGGGATTTTCATCTTTTCTACTGTTTACATACTGAAGATGAGGACTTTGCTCTGACACAAAGACACTTTAAGGAAGACTTCAAACAACAGCAAAAAATCCTATCTTTGGGGAAGAAAATGTATTGTATAGGCAGTTTATTGTTTTGAAGTTAAAACCTTTTTTTTTCCACAAAGTATTAGCTGTTTCAATAAGGAAAAACTAATATTTTTTTTTCAAGTAGTGAAGTAGCCAAAAAGTCAATAATATGTATAAAATGTGTAATAAATGTCAACTTCTGCACCTTTATTCCACTGTACCCTGTCACACCAAAATAGCACCGTTGCATAGACTAAAGACACATCATTTATATTGAGAGGGTTTTTGTTTGTGAAAATTTGTACTGCCCCATAAAAAATCATTGTTGCTATTTAAAAGCAATCAAATTTCTGTCTTCTGATGATGACTTCTGTGAAATATCTTCACAAGAGAAAACCCATTAAGAGAATAGGTACTGTGCTGCAGGAAATCTCAGGAAGTGATACTTAAGTCCCATTCTACTTAAGTCCCATTCTGCTTTGCTGGTCATGTGAGATTTAATTCTCTTGATTTTATATATTTCACTTTGCAACACCATTCTTTCCCTCTAGCTGGAGGAGAGGACCGTTTTCTGACATCAACTCTTTTTTTTTTTCTCTTCCCCCTCCTCCCTGACCCCCAAGAATTGTGCACTCTCTGCCCCTTTATTAGTTCAGAACTGCCCTGGTAAGAGATAAAGGGTTGGAGCAGAGCTTGAAGTTCAGTTTCCTCTCAAAAAGTGTGGTTGCATGTGCCAAAACTGCTCCAGACACAGAACCATCATGCAGAGGAAGAGCTTTAAAACTGTACTGTTGCTCTGGGCTAAGGTGTTAAAATAGACACAGCCTTTATTAGTCCTCCTAGTGACAGTGTTCAGCATGATAGTATTCAGTATTATTGTCTTTGGCTAATCAAAGCTGCTGCTGTTAGCTCCTGCTCTTTCAGGTTTCACTAATTGAAGTCCACTGATTTAAATCCATTGTTTGTATTAAGAAGGGGGG